CCCCCTTTATTTATTTATCTCTCTCTCTTTCTCTGTGTGTGTGTGCGTGGGTGAGGTTTGTTCGTTGGCTTCCCTCACACCGCGGCCACAAGGTCCAGCCGACGGGTTATTCATGCCGGACGCTGCCGCACGCGCGCGCGCCGCGGAGGCGGAGGTGGAGGCAGAGCTGGTGGGGTGGGTGCACGTGGCCAACGAGCTGCTGCTGGACGGCGCGCGGCAGACGCTGGCGCGGGTGGAGGAGCCGTCGCGGCGGGCCGAGGTGCAGGCGGCGTACGTTGAGGGACTCGCGGCGCTGCTCCACTCGCACGCCGCCACCGTGAGCGCCGCGCTCTTTGCCGCCGCCGCGGAAGCCGCAGCACAGGCGGAGCTTGAGGAGGCGCGGGCCGCCGAGAGAGGACGGGCCGACGCGGCGGTGCGGGAGCTGGCGCGGCAAAAGCTGGCGCTCGAGCAGGAGGTTGCGGCGCTCCAGGAGGAAGCGCGGCGGGCGGCGGAGGCCGTGGGGGCCGCCCGCCTCGACGCCGACACGGTGCAAGGCGCGGTGGCGCAGGAGCGGCAGGCGCTGGAGTCGCTGCGGGCGGAGGAGGCGCGACAGCGGGAGGAGCACGAGCGTTGCATGTCTGCGGCGCGGCAGGAGCTGCAGCAGGCGCAGGCGGAGTTCGCCGCGGAGAGGCAGCGGGCGCAAGCGGTGCGGCAGCAGCTCCGCCTGCTTGCGGCCACCCTCGCGCAGCTTCGCGACGGGGATGAAGCGGCAGCAGCGGCGGCAGCGGCGAAAGCGGAGGGGGAGGGCGGGGAGGAGCCGATGGCGTACGAAGAGCCGAGCGAGAGCCTCCGTCAGCTGCTCGAGGAGCTGGTGGAGTACGCGGCGGTGGCGCAGCGGACGCAGCAGGAGCTGCAGGATGAGGCGGCGCAGCTGCGCGAGCAGCTGCTTGCGGCGCAAGAGCCACCGCCGCGCCACAGCGGGCCGCAGCCGCTCTACCAGCGCATTCTGCCGCCCCCCGCGGTGAGCCCCGCGGCCCGCACACTGCAGAGCGTGCGGGAGCAGGTGCGGGAGCTGCGACCGCAGAGCGCATTGACGCCCTGCGGCGTCGTCAACACTCCGCGACTTTCGAATAGGCGGCAGCAGCAACATTTTTGCGGCGTTGTCAGAGGCGAGGCTCCTGCCGCGTCCTCGCTCGGGCCGCTGTATCGGACGCCAAACGCTCGGCTCCCGGAGGAGGCGCCGTCCCCGGTGACGGCGTGGCGGGAGCGGATGGCCGCACTCAGGGCGGAATTGCACGACCTTCGCCGGGAGATCGGCAGCTGAGCCTGTGTGTCGCACGCCTACACCTCGCTACCTTTTTGCCTTTTTTTTTGCCCCTGCCGGTTACGGCCTCCTCCTCCTCCCTGTTGTTGCTGTTGATATCATCTCTGAGTGTTTTCGTTCGGCGCAGATGGCTGTCGTGTGGACCGTGCGGCGCTCCCTCCGCACACACGCATCTTCTTCTCCCTCTCGCTGTGTCGCCTGTTATATTATTATTATTATTTTGTTTTCTGGTGTTCCCGCCTTCCTTACGGCAAGGGAAGGGAGTGCCTTCGACAGTAGACGCATGCAACAGGCGTCAACGACAGCAGCCGTGGCCGGAGGCGTGCAGGAGCTCGTCCCGCTGCGCTCACACGTTTGTCTGCCGGGCGATCCTGTGCTGCTGCTGGACCCAACGGCGGTGGTGGCGCTTGGGAACGGCCTCCGTCCCGTCTCGCAGGCCCCGACACACGGCGGCGGCGGCGGCGCCACCACTGCTGCCGCCGGGGATGGGGGAAACACGGTAGTGGTTGCAGAGCTCTGTGGACCGGTGACGTGCAGCGTGGGGCCGAACAATGTGCGGCGGTACACGATCGACGCCTCCGCTGCTCGCCGCTACGTGTACGCTCCGCGGGACCCCGTCGTGGCGGTGGTCCTGAAGAAGACGACGAGCTACTGCTACTGCTACACCGGCGCGGCGATGCCGGCGGTGCTCGATGCGCTGAGCTTTGACGGAGCCACCAAGTCGAGTCGGCCGCGGCTGCAGGAAGGCGACGTCGTCTACGCGTTTGTGAAACCGAAGCCGGCCGCCACCGCCGCCGCCGCCGTGGAGGATGCCTCGGACGAGGTGGAGCTGAGCTGCCTGGCGGGGGACGTGGGCCTCGTCGCGAAGGACTGGACCTCCGCCGAGGCGGTGTTCGGGCCACTTGCGGGCGGCACGGTGGTGCGGGTCCCGATTCCGTACGCCCGCAGTCTGCTCGCGGACGACGGCGCTGCCGCCCCCCTCCTCTCGCAGCTGGGGGCGCGGGTGCCGTTCGAGGTCTGCGTCGGCGTGAACGGGCTTGTGTGGGTGCGGGGGCAGGCCAGCGACGTGGACGCGGCGGCGGCGGCGCGGCGCACGGTCGCGGTGGCCGCCTGCATCGTGGAGGCGCAGGACGACGCGACGCCGGAGGAGATGGAGCGCCGCGTGCGGAGTTATTTTCCGGGGGAAGTTAACTAACGGGTGTAAAAAAAAAAAAAAAAAAAAAAAGAAAACCAGCGGCGTGGTCGCCCCCACCCCGTCCCCTCGCGTTGGCCGTGGTGCCTTTTTTTTTTTGCGTTTTTTGTTTGTGTCTGGCTTTCCGCGCTCCTTCCACCGCCGGACTTTCCCACACCTTTTTTTTGTGTGTGTGCTGCTTTGTTGTTGTTGTTTTTGGTGGTGGCGGCGGCGCAGAAAGCCGGAGAGGCAGCGAAGGAAGTAGCAGGAGGAGAAGGGGGAGAGAAGCACGCACACGCACACGCACAGAGGGAGGGAGAAGGGCGCCTGCGGGAAGACGGTGGTGCCCTGCAGCCGCAATGCCGGACTACGCACCGTTCGTGAAGTACTTCAACGAGTACCCAAACATTCCCGCGAGTGAGACCTCGGCGTACAGCCGCATTGCGGACACAACGTGGCGCCTCCTAACGGCCTCCGAGAAGGAGAACGCCGGTTCAAAGGGCTCCGCCGCTGCGCCTGCGGCGTGTCCCTCGATTGTCATTGGCCGGCTGCTCGTGTCCACCGAGGATCGCTGGCGCATTCAGGCGCACATGCGCCGCGAGGAGGCGAAGGCGGGAGCCGGGCGAAAGGAGTACAATAAGAAGGTGACGCGCGCGACCATGAACACAAAAGGGCCGGTGCAAACCGGGGGATTTCCGCCTGGCAGGGGTCGGCCGGTGTGAGTTTGTTGCGGTGTCTGGTTGTTTTCTTTCTTGTTTGTTTTTGCCCCACCCCACCCCCCCTCCCCTCTTCCCTCCCATGCGCGGCGCCGCTGCCTCGCGCCTCGCTGTCTGCTCCTGCCGCATCCGCCGCGGTACAGTGTGGCATCCCGCCTCCCTCTCCGCCGTCTCTGGCTTCTGCGCCTGCCTGGTTCACACTGCAAGGATGTGAGCACTCGCTCCACACACAACGAGATAGATATATATAGAGAAAGTGGCAGGGAAGTAGGCGGCCGTCGAAGCATGTCACAGGCCGAAATAGAACTCTCGGCCCTCTCTTCCACCAGTGAGGCGGAGAAGGGGGGAGGCCTCCAGCAGCGGGACGTTGACTTGTCGCAGTGGGCGGCGGCGGCGGCGGAGTGCGGCGCCAGTAACGGCGATAATCCCCGGAAGCAGCCGGAACACTTTGGGATTCCGCCGCTGTGCCCCACCCGCTCCAGCGGCGGCGGCGGCGGCGGCGCTGAGGCCGCTGCGGAGCAGCACCTGGTCGCGCTCCTGCAGAAGGCGTCGCAGGTTATCAAGGAGGAGCGGGCACGCAGCGCCGCCTTGCAGCAAGAGCTGGATACGTTGCGCCAGTCCGCCGCGGCGCTGCCGCCTGCGCAGCGGCTGCAGCAAGAGAACCAGGAGCTCAAGCGGCAGCTGCTGTCGCTGCGGGCGCAGGTGTCTGGGGCGCAGACGGCGTCCGAGACGCGGGCCAGGCCTCAGGAAGCAGGTGGAAACTGTTGTCCACCGCCGCCAAGCTGCCGCACCTCGTCCTCGCGGGAGCGCGGCGAGGGGACCTCCTCCAGGCCGTCGACGTCGCAGACGCCGCTCGCGCCCTCCGCGACGCACGCCGTTGCAGGTGGGGGCTACAGCGACGCACAGCACAGACGGCGGCAGACCGTCTCGCTGCAGCGGCGGCAGCTAGGCGCCCCCAGCGAGAGCTCTGGGGGGCGGGCCTCCGTGGGCTCGCAGCAGCCGAAGCAGCGGCAACCGCTTGCCTCGCCGTCCTCAGGAACGTCACCCGAGGTTCCGCGGAAACCCTCGTCCACCGCCACCGAGACGGCGGCGGCAGCGGCAGCTGCGACGGCCTCGAGGCCGCAGCCTCTTTCAAGGTCCCCTGTTGCGCGGGAGCTCTGGCGGGCCACCACCGCACACGACTGCGGGAAGGCGTACAGCTTGGGAATGATCACGCGCCTTCGCCGCGCGATGGCGCCGCAGCCCACAAAGGAGCAGCTGGGCGAGGTTATCCACGCGATGGTGCACGAGGTGCTGCGGGATGTGCGTCGAAGGGGAATTGACCTGAAAATGACGCGCCAGGCGCCGTGTGTATACCGCTGCGAGCTCCGTGGCACTGCTGCCATCAACAGAAAAGGCAAAGGCGCCAACGCGCGCGTTCTGCACCTCTCCATTGACAGTGGACGCCTGGCCGTGAACGTAGGCAGCGGCCACGAAAACTTTTTAGACTACCTGGAGCGACATTGCTTCCTGTCGGGCGCGTCATAGACTCTAGCGAAGAAAGAGGGGGGTGCACGCAGTGCCCGCGGGGTGTAACCGCACCAAGCAGCGGCAACTGGCCCTGACTGTGCTTGTCGTAGATCTGTTGTGCTTCCCTGCAAAAGGTATTGCGTGAATTTTCCTGGCGTGTCTCATGCCCCCCCCCCACCACCACCACGTCTTGTGGAGACTGTACATAAATAAATATGTTACTTGCAATTTGTTTCCTGTTGCTGTGACGTCTTCTGTTCTCTTCTCTTTCCTGCTTTGCCTGCCGTCAAGTACACAAGGACAAGGTGGAAGGATACTGTCGAAGGCGACTGAGCAACAACGATCGTCGTGGAGGGCGGCGTGGGCGAGGAAGAGAGCAACAGTTCTCCCCCGCAGCGCAGTACCCGGCATCAGTGCATCCATGGAACCCGAAGGCGCCTTGGACGACAAGAGCACGCGCTGGGCCGTCATTGGGCTTGCGATCGGCGCGGGTGTCCTGTTTCTATCCGCGCTTGTTTTCATATGGGTGTTTTGCTTTAGACAACGTGGGCGGCAGGGGGAAACAGCGGCGCCGAAACGCCATGCGCGCGTGCAGAACCCCCTCATTCAGAACCCGCCGCGATCGAGCTTCCAGTGCCGGCTAGACTCACAGAGGGGAAGCGGCCTGTCCGCCCCACGCGAGGGCCTGCAGTGGGGGGATGAGCCCCCGCGGGATGCGTGGCGGAACCCAAAAACGGGCTCCTTCCGGCGGCCTCAGTCCGGGGGGGCGGCGGACCGGCCGCGCCTCTCCTACGCGCAGGGGCTTGTGCCGATGCAGCGCATCGCGACGCAGCCGTGCCTGGTGCACGTGGGCGGCTACCCCGTCGCGCAGCTGATGGGGCAGTCGGCTTCAGAGCTGCAGTGGCAGCAGCCGGGCGGCGAGCTCGTCTCGAGTGGGTACCTGAGTCCGCTCCCCGCGTACGAAGCCTCCTCCTCACCGTTAAGCCCGGCGCCTGAGGAGGTCGCTGACAGCCCTGCGTCGCCGCCGGGGGAGGAATCGCCCACCCCTGAGTTTAGACGCCGGGCCTCGCATGTCGTCTTCGTTGGGGCGTATAAAGTTTAGCAAACATTTGGCCCTCTCAACCGAGGGACACTTTTCTGCTTCTATTCTTCCCTTTCTCCATTTCTTTTTATTCCTCCCTCTGTATCCCTCTCTGGTTTTCTTTAGCTTTTTCATGCCACGCTTGACGGCACCGGCGCCCCTCCCTTCAGCAATGTATCTATGTCACTTAAAGGAAGGGAACGGCGACGCGACAACGCGTTTTTTTTTTCTTGTCTTGTCTTTTCTTTCTCTGGGGAGAGCAAACGATTGCTGGCGCACCCGCGTCGGTCCGGCCTCCCTCTTTTTGTTCGAGTGAAGTGGGTTTTCCCCCCTTCCTTTTTTTTTCTTTTCTTTGCGTGTTTGTTTTTACTTTTGTTACCATCGTAACTGCTGTGCCTCTGCACGCCTGTGTGGCTGCGTCGCTCCTTTTTTTTGCGGGGGGTGGTAGCGGCCGAGTCCGAGCGCCCCTGCCGAGTCCTTTTTTTTTTCGTTGTGTGTGTGTGTGTGTGTGTGTGTCGTTGTTGTTGTTGTTGTTGTTGCCCCCCCCACTCCCCACTCCCCTCCACGATGTGTTTTAGGAGCGGGGCTGCCGCAGCGCAGCGCTCTTGCAGACGCGCCCCGCCGTGGCAGACTCCCACCTTGGCGCCGAGGCAAAAAGGCAAAGGGGTGCGCCATAAAACTCGTGGCCGCCCCTCCCCGGCGCACTGGCGGCGCCAGCGAAGGCCAAAGACGGCAGGTCGAGTGGGCTGCTCGCCGGCCCTTGGCTTGCCTCCTTGCGAGGCACTCAGCCCGCCGGCGGCACGTTACGGGGCATGCCCCTCCTCCCCCGGCATTCTTTTTTTTTTCTTTTGCTGCGCATGTCGCCTGCCCGCCTTTAAGGGGCAAAACAACACAAAAAACGCCTCCATTCTCTCTTCCTCTCCACGCACAGTCTAGCACCACGGAAAGGTCACTACAACAAGAACATACACCAACAACCAACAAAGCACCCACAGGGAGAGGCGTGCGCAGCAAAAAAAAAAAATGGCGGCCAGCACGAAACCGAGTGCGGGTAACGGCGGCTATGTGGAGCTCGCCACGCTAAGCTACGGCGGCCCTGTGCCGAAGCCCCACCCGCCCTGCATGGATCCCACGCCAGACGAGCAGTACCGTCAGTTCTTGGAACAGCGAAAAACGGACCTGGGGGAGCGCGAGCAGCGCAGCGCGGGGACCACGACAGCTGCCCCAGGCGGCCACGCCGACTCCTCCAACGTCGCTGGCCTGTTTTCCACCGCCACGACGAGCCTACTAAACATGGCGCAGAAGGTGGCGCTCAAGGTGGAGCGCGCGGGGACGGAGGTGTCAACTGCGACCGAGTCTGCCGTGCGGCAGATGGGGCGGCACTTCAACGTCGACCGCTTCAAAAGCAGCTTTCCGGAGCTTAGCGCAATGGGGGAGGTATTGCTGGCGGACTACGACTGTGCCGCGATGCACGCAGGGCTGCGGGTGAAGGGGCACATGCACATTACCAAAAACTACCTCTGCTTCAGCGCGCAAACCTCGTCCATGTTTGCCCAGGCGACCACTGCCATGCTAAAGGAAATCGCTCTCGCTTCAGATGGCAACACTCCGGCGGGCATTCGTCAAGTTATTCCGCTCACCGAAGTTGCCTGTATTTTGCTTTCCGTCGCGCTGGAGACGGTGGATCAGGGGCCTCCGTTCTTCCTGCCGATTCCCGTCCCGACCGTGCGGCCAACGTCCCTACAGATCTACACAACCAAGCAGCAGCTGTTTCAATTCCTTGCCTTCGAGAGCATTGCGGCAACCGCAGGGGCTGCCTTGTCGGAGGCCGTAAAGGGCCGCCCCATTGACCGCGCGTACAACTACCTCGACCACGCGTGGCGCGCCGCCACAGCCGTCCCGCTCCCCGGCGTGAACTACGCCAGCTGACATCCACTGGCCGGGAGGATGGGTCTGCATGGGCCACGCCACGCCCTAAGCTTATTGCAACGCATGTAGTACCATAAGCTGCGACACACAACGCCCCGAAGGTGCCTGCCGTTCGTCGGTCCACGCCGGCGGAGACGAAGGTGTTGGGGAAAAAGTAAATTATAGGCAAAAACAAACCCACACGCGAAAAGGAAAAGGAGCTGCCCGGGCATTGTTGTGTT